AACGACGTAAGAAAACCAGGAGATAAACGCAGTAAACTCAAAAGTCTCAAGTTCCCGTTTGGGTGATGTTTCCGACAGTTTTTGCGAAGTTAGCGGGCGCTAGCGCCGACATCCCCCCTATCAGATCAAACAAAGTTTGCGGACCATTCATACACGTGTCCCCGCCTCCCCGAGACATACGTAACTTCCTATCCCCTGTGACAGACATGGTAGCGCTGATACCCTGTCATTAATTACTCCGCTATTCTCGCCCATTTCACGGCTGTTTCTGCCGGTAATACTGATCAGAGATAAGCCGCCGAGCAGGAGACCACAGCCCCGCTGCCTTATCAGGCGCGCACAGGTGGCGGGAGCCGCATTAGGTATTCTGGAGAAGCAGATCCACGGGCAATTTCACCGCCGCGCTGTCGTCAATAGAACAGGAACCGTGCGATAGGCACATGATTGGAACACGGGAGGGGGATCTCACATGTTAGCGCTGACGCGAACAGTTTCATTACTGTATCTCCGCTCGATCCGGACTTAATTCGCGCACAGACTCCGCGTATATGACGGAGTAACAAAATGAAAGACGCAGATAAAATCCTTTGTAAGACGGCGAAGTACCCGTCACCTTTCGGGAAGGACGTACAACTTCGTGTGAAAGAGTTTCTTTTTTTATTGAGGATTTTAAAGAAATGATTGCCACTCGAATCGGCCTAGCAGTCGTCAATTTTCTTTTGATTACATGTTGCGTAATGAAGAAATATCGGTGCTTTTTGTCCCAAATGGCATTCTTTTCATTTTGAAGCAGTCTATAACAATTTATGCGGTGTCCTTCGCAATTCTTTTAATACGTACTTTACCGCATTCCTCATTCAAAAACTACTTGTCATTATTGTTTGACATGAAAATCAGATAAAATCATAAAAAATAATGTGTCACGTGCTGAAATGCTAAATTGAAAAATCGATAAGGCCTCAAAAGCTCAGGACTACGAAAGTCTGTGTACTTTTTGTTTCGTCACTAAAGGTCTTGTTGCAAGTTCGGTGAGAAGGGGGGGGGTCATTTTTGAGAACGAATGTGTTGGATGAAGAACGCGTTGATATTGTATAGTACAATGTTGCTGACTACACGTATTAAGTACTTTCCTGCAATTGTTTAAGAAGTAGGTTTCCAACTTATAGGGTAGTATCAATGTAACTTAAATTTGGTTCAATTGTGATTTCCAATAAAGAAATGTGAGTAAAAATCTACAAATGTGAAGACTAGGTTGTAAAAACAAAATGGGAAATTTCTACAATTTTTTTCAGTATCAGTGTGTATATGTTATTTAACAGAAAAAATTGGTTTAAACATACATGGATTCTACCAGTACGTTTAACAAAGTTACAATGTATATACTTTGTAACAACTGTGTGGACTCTATATTGTACATAAATATTTACTTTCTAAAGTGTTCAAAACGTGTAATTTCCCATAACTGAGTTAAATGTCTGTCACTTTATTTGCATGAATGACATCATGTAGGGAGTTTAGTCAAACAATACACAATTAATTGCCATCTCATTAAGCCCACTAAAAGTGGATTAAGTATGGATCACACAGATTGTTTGTAATCCTGTAGACAGCACAGGGGAATTGTGTGGTAATCATCAGTGCTATTAATCTCGAAACAGATCTTTTGTTGGCTGCAAAGACAGATCTAGAATCAAATTGGTGGCTGCAAAGGCAGTATCAAATTGGCCAGGCTGTATCCATTGGCCACACCATTTTGCCATCAGTGCTTGGAGATTACAGTCCTATAGTCTTCGAATGAAAGCTCATCTGTGTTGGTAGAATCCATAGTTATAGAGTTCAAACTTGTAAGTTCGAACTCTATAACTAAAGTCCTATAGTCTGAACTGTACATACTGTGCCTGGGTGAAACCCATAATGTATTGTGCATAGTACTTCGGAAATTCATCTCGTTTAAGGTCATATTCACATTTGTAACAGTGGGGGGTTTATAGGCGCTACCAACTTACCCGGCCGATGGGTCTAGACCTTTTAGCCAAATTGTTAGAGCGTCATGGTTGTGAGCTGGTGCCCAGGTTTGGCGTGGATTCGATCCCCGGCCCAGGACCAGGAGTGTCTTTCTGTTTCTACACTCCTAACTCTTACACATAAAGAATGACATCCCATATACAGTTTGGGATGTCAAAAGTTGTAGTTTGAAATGTCGTGTGCAAAGGACAAAAACTCCATGGCCTTTTCTGGTCTTAAATTCATCTGTTTTTCTAGGAATGTTTATCTATCTCCTTAGTGGTTTGTCCTTAGGTAGTTCCTGTTCAGTATTATGTGGGGTTTGGAGCATGTGGTCTGGCTTAGCCTCTCATAAGAAGCTGTGCAAACATTGGCAGTGTAAACCCAACCCCTCCACCCCCCATCATCTGTGACAAGTGGTTTATTTGTGGGAAAGTTTGAACAGGCCTGGGCTTGGAGTGTCCTTAGACTCATCCATTCTAACATGATGGTAGGGGTGTTTTGGTAAGTTGTTTGTGTAACAACTTCATTTGACAATTATGTGTTTCATGTTGTAAACTAAGGTTTCCTTTTGCCATTGGTTTTAATCTGTTCATCAGAAATCATTAAAAACCAATCACGGCATTGTAACAGAAGACCGTGTAGACCCTCTACATAAGGAGCTTCAATGTCCTTGCCCTACAAGTTAGCAAAATAGTGGATATTTTGGACCCCCTGGGATCAAAGTAGGTAATTAGCTTCAGGGTCTCTGGGGGCCCCTGCAGGTGGCTTCTGAGTTTCAGCTTGTATGTTTGATACTGGTCCCTTCTTCCTGGGTTAGGAGAAAATTTATTGTTCTTAGTTGCTGTAATTGCAAAGACCTCTTCAGTCCTCTAGATTGACAAGTCCTTTCTTCTCAAATCCCATGATTATCAGGCCTCGTTTGTCAACTTAAGTACCGAGCAATAGGGCTCAACCATTCAGCAGTCAGGGAGGTTTTAATGTTCATTGTAAAACTTAACTGCGGAGGAAAATTAAAGTTAAGTCTACACTCCTTGCTTGTTTTGAAAAAAAAAAAAGTAGTCCATTTTGATGACTCCAACAGGTGGTTTACATATAATTCGTGCCACAAAGTTTTAACTACAGTTGCCTATTCCAACCTTGGGGGATTTCTAATTATGCAAGTCATGATGACCTATTTAGCCCGTCCTTTCACTTATTGTTGTCTTGTGACAGTCATTCTGGCTTAAGAGTCTTTTGCCACAGGCTCCTTAATATGACCAATTACACGCCATTTAAGATCTATCAGTCAGACAGATACTGATGATCCCTTGCAGCCCGTCTGTCAGAAATCGCTGTGACTGTTCCACAGCTCAGAGTTTCAACTGTACAGTTCACACAAGAACAAGAACTTGGTGAAGGTTACTCTGACAAGTAGAGCATACTTAGGTAAGTACGAAAAAACCCTTTTCTAGTGACTGACTCAGTATATCAATGGACCACCTGGCCATTGTGGCCAGTTCTTTACGGTCTATTCTAACTTTTTTCCCAATAAGACTTTTGTCTATAGTGGTCACTTGTCTAATGTGACCTGATTTCATCAAGTTCTTTGTGTCAGATCACTTATCCATGTGTATATACAATTGTACGCAAGTTTGACCTGATTGCAGTAATTGTTCTTGCAATCTGTTTGTGTCATGAGGTCACACCTTATGTAACTTCTTTTTATGTAACTAGTTATATACATGTAGTAAGGCTTGAGTTACAACTTCTGCTACCTCTTTGTGACATATGATATTATCTTATTTAAGTACTTCAGGTAGCTAATCTAAATGGACAAACTACAAATGGTCAGGCTTTATTCATTCTTAATGTCTGTTATTAAGAAAATTACAGACATTAAAATTGATCAAAATAACATCCTAATGTTGTTGGCTCCTAAAGACTATCAGCTAGGCTGTGCTTGGAAGCAGGTGCAGAAAAAAGAAAGTTGGCAAATTATTTGTTAACGGTAATCATATCATAAGTTCGTGGTGCAGAAGTGACCGCGAAAACTGAGAACGTAAAAGTACTGCGAAAAAAATCTGAGGAATATTACAGTACTGTATTTGTTCCCTGACCCATGCTACACCCAAGTCAGTCTTTCCCTCACTATTTATGACGTAGAATGTTCCCAGATATCAACCAGACAAAGCCTTTGATATGAAAAGTTTAATAAAATGTAGCAATCTTCACATCAAATAAAGTTTCTGCTGAGTAGACTGTCTTGCAGGCATATCTTTACGTGTGGCGGTACATAAAAATACAGTGTGATTCAATCAAAGACCATGAGTCTTGTGTTAAAAAGTTGGAGAGATGGATGTCGACAGTTAGTACCTAGGCCTCACCAGTTTATTTTCCTGGTTGCCACTTGCCAGACATTTAAAAGTAAAAAGTCAGAGAAAAAGACAAAATTAGAGGTTTGGCTGGAAAACTTGACCCTGAATGATTGTCCCTTGATCCCAGACATTCTTTGAAATACATGTACTTGTTAGTGAGAAATCTAGTAGAGTCAATTTTAAATGTTCAACCTTGTACACCTAACATTACCTATTTTTCTCTTTTATCATCATAAAATGATTTATTTAAATTTGCAGTTCCTTCAGACAGAAAATGCTCTGATCCAGTTTAAACCTAACCTTATATGCCCTGTGCACCTAAAGCAGTAACAAATAGAACATTTGCCTTCTGTGATTGCCAAGTCTGAAACAAAAATTATGCTGGATGAGGAAATATAATCTTTCTGATATTGACATTTACTGCCCTTTCTTAGCATGTTTTCATCATCATTTCACACCTGTTTGAAATAGTCCCATTGAATTAGTCATGTCAGGCATCTCTGTATTTTTTGGGTACTGCCCTTAAAAGCCAGAACAGCTGTGAGCCTATGACTATTTAAGTAATACAAGCAACAATTTCCCATCAGCGATATCACATTTTTGGCCCATATTAAGTTGGACAGGATTGTTTCATCTTAGTTCTTACTACATTAAAAGAATGACCAGAAAATTGACTTTGAAAATCCAGTTTCACTGCCCTGAAATTGCTTTGGGTTTAATACCAGTGCTGGAGAGGACATAATAAGAAAGACCTAAAGGCAAAAACCATGATGTGAAACAGATAGATGGATTCAGTGTGCCCAAGGAGAGGAAAAGTACCAGGCGTTGGTGTTCCCGCGGGGTATTATTCTATCTTATCAATGCATGAAGGGGAGGCAGGATCCCGAGTGTCGGCTGGGCGTGGCCATCCCGCTGACTCCACCCAGAGGCACCCACGGAAGGTCACCGCTGACGCACGCTCCTTCTGTACGGACTCTTTAAAAACGCGGAAATTTCCCTTCGCGGCAGATCAGAACTTTACCTCCACCTGAACTTACTTTCCTCTGCAGCCTCTCTCTTCTCGCGCTTGTAGGTATGTAGTGAACTGGACTTCCTTTTACCAATTGTTAGAATTGTACTATTACCATGATGGTAACATCTATCTATGCTGGCCTATGAGATATGCTCAAACTGCTTTTATTGAATTCTTAGGTACATTTCGGGTGCCTTGTACCGACAAGTTGTATGTGAGTGAGATCTCACATTATGATAGCAGAAATTGCACGTTTGAATTGTGCCTCGGCAAGATTTTCTCACCTTGTGAAATTTCTGTCATGTTTTTCCGTCTCCAATTTGATTGATGACAGGTTTCTATAATTATGATCGTTCTCTAAGTAGAACTTCAGTCTTTATCATTAAGAGTTTTGGGTATAATTTAGCCTTACCTGCAAGTACAGGTAGGCCACAATTTTCGTCTGGTATCTCTTATAGCAGGTGTTTTTTACATGACAGATGTTTTCGACCTCATTGAATGTATGTTGAAACAAATTCTACTGCACTTCAAATTGATATTCCAACTTAGCTTTACCAGTTTCTTGGTTGTTCACGGTGTTTAAAAAGTTTTATGATATTCTAAATTATATGCAGCCGTCCAGGGGCTCTTTAATTGTCTTTAGGTGGTATATTTCTGTTAGTTTTACTTGTTCATACTCAATGTATACATGTATGGGTTTATCTTGTATATTATGTATGGTATCATCATCATGGTATATCTACTAGTAGGTATACATGTATCTAGGATAGTTTTTAATAGTACATTCTGTGTCTTTTTTTAATGATTGGTATTATGAAAGGTGACATATTTACCTGCACCATGACACTAAGGACTTGATATACATGTATATTAATTACATATGCAGCCATTTATGTTCTGATTTTTCAAAAATTGATTGAATGAAAGATGGAATTTTTTATCCCAGCTCTTTGGCATACTTAATCCATCATTTACAAAATGCTATCATTGTGCCAGAGTTTCTATCTTTTCTTTCTTCAATTCCCCAATGCTCTGTAAATGATGACAACTTGTGGATGAGTCAAGTGGTTTTGACAGTCTGTTGATGCACTGTCAAAGATGGCTCAGTGATTATGTTTCCCATTTACAATGCCCCTATTCTATGTCATGATTTGAATAGCTTCTTTCATCCCCATGCAAGACAACACCAAATGTGATTTCCTGATTCTCAGCTTTTAAGAAATAATTTTAGGCCACATCAATTTAATTTGTTGGTTCTCGGATTCGCCTCATCGTTTTTTTCTGATTTGCAAAAAAAAAAAAAATTGATTCTGGTCCTGAATCAACTGAAAAATGCTCATGTTTTGCCCCCAACAGTTGAGGAAAGTCCTTTTCTTCCTAGTTGTTACAGTTTTCCCATCTATCATTGCAGTGGTTTGATTAAAAGTTCAAAATTCAATGTTTAAATTTTAACCCAGCCTTTTGTGTTGACTTCATGGCTCATTCCGTAGCATTTAAGCCTATAATGGGATGCCTAGACCTGTTTTTATTTTTATTTTTTTTTGCCCTGTCGCTTCATATTTTTTCTGAAAAAGTCCGAGAACCAACAAATTAAATTGGTGTGGCCTTAGATTAGATTATCAGCATGAAAGCAGAGTTTGAGGGGAATTAAAATAGTTCAGAGTCAGTTTTAGGGAGTGAACAGAGTCATTATGCAATTTAGTTTTCACCACAGCTTTCTAAGGTTTTTATGACATCCTCTGTTTCAAAATTTTCCATGAAAATGTCAGAGAACCAACAAATAAAATTGGTGTGGCCTTACTGTTTTCTTTTCCACACTTCTCAAGCGGAAATCACCACAGCTGCTGATTTCATGTGACCCTCTTCAAACAGAGGACCTGCATCTCAACATGCCCTTTTAAGAGCTGTAATGGCTGGGTATTTGCTGATTATCATTCAACAAGGAGCGATCGATGTCAGTAGTTGAGAGTAGTTGAACAATGTCTTCTGAAACTGACAGTAAAGGTGTTCAAAATTTGTCTAATCCTACAGCATTTCAGTCAGCAATCAGCTGCTACCAGTCTCATTTCAGTAACATTTACTGACAGTTACATGTCAGTGCTGGTGGTCTGCTAAGGGTCTTGCTCTTTAAGGTCTAGAATCAGGATAATTAAACCACCAATAAGAGGTCCCGGGTTCGAATCCTACCCATGTCACCAATCTTGTGCCATTGGGAAAGGCAGTGGCTTTACACGACTTTCCTCACTTCACTCGGAATACCAGGGGTTGGTGTGAGTGGTTCAAACCTTAAAGTCCTGTCTTACGCAGCTTGTTCTAAATGTATTTACAGGTGGTTTACCGGTTATGTGAAACAAAACAAAAAAAGAAGTACATTTCAATGCTTTAAATGTTTCTTCTCTGGATTTTTCCAGCTGACATCGCCATGAGCAACATCCTGACCAGCCTTGAGGACAGCTCCTTCTCCTGCAGTTGTGCCAAAGAGATGATCAATGGAGGCATCCACGGCCACCTCAACGACTGCTCCGCCAGGAACCTCAAAACCTCCGCCAACGTCAAGGGGCCCAAGAAGGACCCCCTCCCCAAGGACGAGGAAGACTTCTTGAAGGCCGTCTTCCAGGTAATACTGGAGGACGGCATCAGGAAAGGGCGGGACATCACGCAGAAAGTCGTGGACTTCCACCAGCCGGACGAGCTGAAGACCCTGCTGGACCTGGAGATCCGGGACGCGCCCGAGGATCACCAGGGTCTCATCAAGCACATGAAGGACACCGTCAAGTACAGCGTCAGAACAAGTAAGACTGTCACTTCACTTTACTCTTGTACTGCACAGGTTGTGAACTGGTGTGAAAACTCTGGCTAATCATGTTTAGGAGAGGTTCAAATTCTTCTCACTTGGCAGAACGTACTGCGCCTGTGCGATGTTTTATGTTGGATTTTTGGTCAACGTTACATCAGACTTTTGCCTGTTTCAAACGATATCTTTTCCTAGATAACTTTTGGAAACTACAGACGGGATGATAACCTTACATATATATATACGCAAATACGACCTTATATGAGAAATTCTGCTGAAGTGCTATGCACAATACATTATGCCATATTGGTTTCACACAGGTGCAGTACATTCTGCCTGCATGCTTACTTTCATGTAAATTAGCCATTTAACAATCTTTCCACACAGAATAATTCATTGTCTAACGTTATATGATATATGATATGAAAGTGAACTTAAGTCCTGTGTACATAAGAGCATCAGTTCTGTGATGTCATCTGCAAAAATGTAATTTCTGCCACCAGTGCACAACTTAAGCTTTGGAATCTGGGAGATTTTACAGTTATGTTATTTAAAACAATTATCATCAATTTGCAACTATAAGACTGTGGTATAATGCATTTCAAATATACCCAGTTTATCAATCTACATTAAAGTACAAAAAGAATTGGATAATTCATCATTGTTAATTATTTTTCATAATGAAGTCTGAAGGCATAGAAGTACCTTTAAGTTAAGATTAACTTAACACCAATCAGACTTGAATATTATCAATGACTATAAATTATCTTCAATGCAATACTGTTAAGTATAACTTTGTACAAAACGTTGTAAGTTTCATGGCTACAATGTATACTTGTTAACTTTTTAAAAGAACAAAATTAGAACAGGTCCTGCCTTCTTTTGGGAGGTAAACAAACATGTAGTTTTTTATAGTCTTCTGAAAGTATCACCACGTTATCTATCTCTGTTGAATTTTGGAAATTGACAGTTTTGGCACTTGACTACATTGTAGGTATGCAGATGCTGTCTTCCCTGTCCTTGTTGCTGTGTTCAGTGATAGGTTATTGTCAGAAAAGGTTGAGAAGTTAATTCGTACAGGTAAATCATGGTGACATTAATCATAAAGTATACAACTCAGATAGCCGGGGACCTAAACTGTCCGACAAGGTTTGTTAAACACCCGAACCCATGGCAAAACCAGGCCACCAGTTAACCTAACCACTTAACCACAAGGCTAAAAGGTCCAGACTTGGATTGGTCAGTTGGTGGCACTTGAACCTCACTGTTAGTGTTACTTTTCTCCAAAGTCAGTGAAAGTCAGTTTGCTTATAAAATTTTGTACCAATTATCGAAAAATTGGGTTTTTAAGGAACATTTCAGCACCCAGGTGAGTGGAATGTTTCCCCCTTTTTTCTCTCTCAGAATTTTTACAGATTTTGTATCTTTCACAATCCTGGAAATCAATTTATCGGCCAAAGGAACAAACTGCAATGCAAACCAGACAATTGTTTTAGAGCCCACACTGAGCTCCATTCTCCCATCGACTTTGTCAGAAAATGATTCTAGTATTTACTGACTCACTCGCTCAGTACTTTTGTCTGCCACTGAACCCTGAAGCAGCTTGAAAGGCCTCACTAACCTTCTGACCTTCCACTGTTCCCGTCATGCATTTACTTCATTAGAACTGACAACCTGGGTGTAGGGAAATATACTGGGTCACTCTCATTATCTATCTCATTGGGAATTCTTTGGGAAAAGGCACCATGCTTGGTTACACTCCTACGTTCTTGACACACGTGTTCCTACATGGGCACACCAATATATTTTGACAACTCTGGTCTCGTGTTTCCCAACAAGCCTAAACACAGGGGTGTTGTACATAGATCTATAATCTCCACCAATCTTGCTTGTCACGCAAAGTTTTTCCTTTTACTATAATAGACATATCTCTTTCTACATGCCTTTTATATCAAAAGTTGCATATTACCAAATAGGTAACCAAAAATACACAGAGTACTGCTATATACTCTACATCCAGAAGTTAAAATACAGACATTAGATGGCACAATGGAAAAAATTCAGTTTGTAATTCTCAATGATCATTGGTCATTCTATGTCTAAAATTTTAAAATTGTGAAATTGCAATGTGCATTCCAACACAAACAATCAAACAGGCAGCCATGGTAGTAATTTGTTTAACCTTTGACCTGACAGGTGTCCAATCAATCCTTCAAACACCCTCTGTCCTGTCTACTGGCTTTTAACTCTACTGTGATCCTAATGACTAGGTCAAAGGTCTGCAGTAGGAATACTACTATGACAGTAACTGTAAAAAGTTGAAATATTTGCAGTGGTTTTAGTTTGCAATTTTTGAGGTGAGATCTCCACATCAATAATAAACTTTTTTCCACAAATATCTACTGTGAAGTAAACAAGCAGGCAGACGTTAATCTACAGTATGAGTGAAAATGGAATCATCAGAACATGGTAACAGTCAATCAGAAAACACTAATATTTCTAATGTGCCAAAAACTGGCAGTTATTATAGGCATCCAAGTCAATTTCAGGGCAACAAAAATGAAAACATTCTGAATAAAGTAATCTGTATGGTATTACACATACTACCAAATAACAGCACATTTGCATCAGAATTTCATTCTATGGCCACACCAATTTAATTTGTTGGTTCTCGGATTCGCCTCTTCGTTTTTTTCTGATTTGCAAAAAAAAAAATTGATTCTGGTCCTGAATCAACTGAAAAATGCTCATGTTTTGCCCCAAACAATTGAGAAAAGTCCTTTTCTTCCTAGTTGTTACAGTTTTCCCATCTATCATTGCAGTGGTTTGATTAAAAGTTCAAAATTCAATGTTTAAATTTTAACCCAGTTTTTTGTGTTGACTTCATGGCTCATTTCATAGCATTTAAGCCTATAATAGGATGCCTAGACCTGTTTTTATTTTTATTTTTTTTCGCCCTGTCGCTTCATATTTTTTTCTGAAAAAAATCCGAGAACCAACAAATTAAATTGGTGTGGCCTTACAAGTATTGTTACAATGTTGTTTCTGTTCAATTTTACAGACTTAATAAAGTTGTGTAAAGTGCCTTTTTTTTATGTTCCCCTGACTAAGGTTAGATGTTGTGTCCTTGGGAAAGGCACTTGACAGGAGTTTCCTCACTCCACCCACTGTAAAAATGAGTATTTCGGTTAGGGAGGTACATGTAAAAGGCAGTGGAAGGAGAGAGATGGACTGACTGACTGCCTTCCAATACTGTGCCCTAGATACAGTGGATCAACAACCCACTGCCCCTACAGCCCGAGAAAGGCTACACACCTTTTCCTTTTCTTCATATTTTATGTGTGCAGATAGCTTTGCATTTGAAAAGTACTCTGAGATTTCTTTGCATTTTGGATATACAATGTACTGCTTTCTGTGAAAATATATGAACAGTTTTTTTTAACATGTACTTNCACCTTGTGCAATTTCTGTCATGTTTTTCCGTCTCCAATTTGATTGATGACAGGTTTCTATAATTATGATCGTTCTCTAAGTAGAGCTTCAGTCTTTATCATTAAGAGTTTTGGGTATAACGTAGCCTTACCTGCAAGTACAGGTAGGCCACAATTTTCGTCTGGTATCTCTTATAGCAGATGTTTTTTACATGACAGATGTTTTCGACCTCATTGAATGTATGTTGAAATAAATTCTACTGCACTTCAAATTGATATCCCAACTTAGCTTTATCAGTTTCTGGTTGTTCACG